ATTTAAAAGTATAGGTTCAAGCCAGGCACTGGTGGCTCACACCTGTAATCCTAACTACTCAGGAGGCTGAGATCTGAGGATCACAGTTCAAAGCCAGCCTTGGCAGGAAAGTCTGTGAGACTCTTATCTCCAATAAACGGTCAGAAAACCAGATGTGGTGCTGTGGCTCAATTGGTAGAGCACTAGCCTTCAGCTGAAATGCTAAGGGACAGTGCCCAGGCCCAGAGTTCAAGCCCCACGATCAACAAAAAAAAAAGTATAGGTCCTGAGGTTGAAAATGTGACCAAGCAATTACTCTGTTGATGGTGTAACTTAAACATAGTAGATTAGAATTTTGACATAGAAGAATAATTGAACCATATCAACTGAAATGAGAGCTACAGCAGAAAACTTTACATAAAAGTAGGATTGTATATAACAGAGGAAAGCCTGCTAAAGTATAGGGTACTAAAAGACTCCCAGCTTTTTACTCTTTCCCTTTGGCACATTTACAATAGGAATTGGGATAAGTTTGGTTAAGAGTAGTATAGTGGTACAGGGGTGTGCATATATGTTCTGTTCCAGAGTGGAAAAGTTTTTTTTTTGTTTTGTTTTGTTTTGTTTTTTGGGTCTGGGTGTGGGCCCTGAACTCTGGGCCTGGGCACTGTCCCTCAGCTCTTCAGCTCAAGGCTAGCGCTCTACCACTTAAGCCACAGCGCCACTTCTGGCTTTTTTCTTATGTGGTGCTGAGGAATCAAACCCAGGGCCTCAGGCATGCAAGGCAAGCGCTCTACCACTGAGCCACCTTCCCAGCCCCACAGTGGAAAAGATTTTGGTGGTTCACTTGTGTTCCTAGCGATCAAATTGAGGGCCACGGACATGCTAGTAAAGCACTCTACTGCTGAGCTGCACCCCTAGTTCTTGAAAGAGTTTAGGGGTGGATGCCATGAGATGTTGTCAGTATTGCCTTGTTTTTGAGCCAATAAAGTAAAATTCTGGCTAAATTATAAAATGTATTTTAAGAGAAATACTAGAAACCAATACTAATAAAATAAAATTGTGATAGACTTGATTGGTGGTCACAAATTACAGTAGGACGACTATCATCCAGATATTCAGCACTCAGGATGCTGAGTCAGGAGACCTAGGAATTTGAGTTCAGTCTGGGCTACATAGATAGCAAGACTTAGGAAGAGAGTAGAAAGAACAATGGAGGAAATTTTTATCTTGGAATTTTATATGCCAAAGTACTACTGGCAAATCACTTTCGAGTCTTCCTATTTCCTTACAAATTCATTGTACAATATTCTTTCTGATGGAAGCATAAAATTCCATTGTGTATATATTACCTACCACATTTTCTTTATCCATTCATCCACTGAGAGGCATCTGGATTGATTCCGTATCTTGGCTTTGGTAAGCAGTGCTACAATGAACATGGTTATGCTGGAAGCTTTAGTGTGGCTTGCTTCGTGATCTGTTGAAAAAATTCCAGGACTGGAATTTCTGGGCCATAGGGACGCTATGTTCCTTGAGGAACTTCCATACTGCTTTCCATAGTGGTTGAACAACTTTACATTCCCACCAATAGTGTAGTAGCATTCCCTTTTGGCCACATCCCTGCCAGCATGTATTATTGTTCATTTTCTTGATAATGGTTATTCTAACTTGGGTGAGGTGGAATCTCAATGTTTTGATTTGCATTTCTTTTATGGCCAGAGATGTTGAACATTTCTTCATGTGTCTGTTGGTCATTCTTACTTCTTCTGAGTAGTCTCTCTTTAAGTCTTAGCCCATTTATTGAGTTGTTGTTTTTTAAGAGGTGGGTTAATTTTTTGTGCTCTAAGTATATTTTAGACATGAGATCCTTGTCTGATGCTTAGCTGGTAAAAATCTCCTGTTCTGTGGGCTATTTATCTTGTTAACTATGTCTGTTGCCATGCAAAATCTCTTCAGTTTGATGCAGTCCCATTTATCCAGTCTTTCTTTGATTTGTTGTGATTCTGGATCTTTGGAAGTTTTTTTTTTGTTTTGTTTTTTTTGTTTTGTTTTTGTTTTTGTTTTGTCGGTCGTGGGGCTTGAATTCTGGGCCTGAGTGCTGTCCCTCAGCTCTTCAGCTCAAGGCTAGCGCTCTACCACTTGAGCTACAATGCCACTTCCGGTTTTCTGGTGGTTTATTGGAGATGAGTTTCATGGACTTTACTGCCCAGGCTGGCTTTGAACTGCGATCCTCAGATCTCAGCCTTCTGAGTAGTTAGGATTACAGGCGTGAGCCACCGGCACCTGGCTCTTAGGAAGTTTTGACCTGTGCTTTCCTGTAATAATCTGCATGGTATCTGGCCTTACATTGAAGTCTTTGATCCATTTAGAATGGATTCTGGTGCAAGGATCTAGTTTCACTTTTCTGCATGTGTATAGCCAGTTTTGCGAGCACCATTTGTTGAAGAGGTTCTTTCTTCCATCCTGTGTTTTTTGCTCCTTATCAAATACTAGGTACCTATGGGTTTGTGAGTTCATTTCTGGATCTTCTGTTCCATTGGTCCTCAGGCCTATTCTTGTGCCAGTACCAAGCTGTTTTTATTATTGTGGCTTTGTTACCAAGTTGGAAGTTTGGTATTGATATTCCTTCAGCACTGTTCTTCCTTGATAAGAATTGCTGTTGCTAGTCATAGTCTTATTATTTCATATGATATTTTTTGGATTGAAGAATGTTGTTGGGATGTTGGGATTTTGATGGACATTGCATTGAATTTGTAAATTGCTTTGGGCAGTATTGCTGTTTTCACAATATTAATCCTCTCAATCTAGAAACATGGAAAGCTTTTCCATTTCTTTAAATATGCTGTAATTTCATTTTTCAGATTTTTATTGTTTCCATAAGATCCTTCACATCTTTAATTCCTAGGTTGTTTTTGGTTTTTTTTTTGTTTTTGTTTTTGTTTTGTTTTGTTTTGTGAGATTATTACAAGTGGAGTTGCTTTCCTCATTATGATCCTCATAGTTGTCATACAGAAAAGCTACTGATTTTAAAGTTTCAGATTATCTCAAGTAATGTGGAGGAATCTATAAGTTTTTTTGTTTGGTTTTATCGGTCTTGGGGCTTGAACTCTGGTAGTGCTCTAGCACTTGAGCCACAGCGCTACTTCCGATTTTCTGGTGGTTTATTGGAGATAAAGAGTCTCACAGACTTTCTTGCCTGGGCTGGCTTTGAACTGCAGTCCTCAGATCTCAGCCTCCTGAGTAGCTAGGATTATAGGCATGAGCCACCAATGCCCTGCTCTGTAAGGTTTTTAAATTACAGGATCATGTCATCTACAAAGAGGGATAGTTTTACTTCTTTCCTTATTTGGATCCCCTTTATGTTTGTCCCTTGCCTTATTGCTCTGGCTAGGTATTCCATTATGTGTACTATACTAAAGAGAGGAGTGAAGAGTGTGGACATCCTTGTCTTATTCCTGATTTTAGAAGAAATGGTTTTAACTGTTCACCATTTTGTATAAAGCTGGCTGTAGGCTTGTCATATACAGTTCTTATTATATTGAGGAATATTCCATGGATTCCTAGCCTCTCCATAGCTTCTATCTTAAACAGGTGTTGGATCTTGTCAAATGCTTTTTCTCTGCATCTATTGAGATTGTGGTTCTTGTCCTTGTTTCTGTTGATGTGTTAAATTACATCAATTGATTTAACATATATTGAACCAGCTTTGCATCCCTGGAATGAATCCTGTTTGATCATAGTGTATTATTTTTTTTTGTTAGTTGTTGAATTCAGTTAGTTGGCCAGATGAAACACATTTCTGTTAGTCCTAACTAGCATGTGTTTTGTTACACTGCATATCAGTGTTATCTTTGTAGGACCTTTTATATAGAAAACCTGGTTTTAAAATTAACCTACATAGGACAGGTTGAAGAATCCCACCAGCTGTTTATAGAAAGCTGAACCAATGGATTCTGTCTCTTTGACTTATCTGAAAGGACATAGATATGGAATAGCTTCACTTAAATCTTTTGCTTCTGTTCTGACTGCCCTTACTTAGCAAATGGTAAATTCTGTCCTTTTGTCCTACACAAAGTATATGGGTTTTAAGAAAATTCAATGCTGTTAAGACATTTAAAACAGTATATAACAAGGGCCAGCATTTTAAAAATACTTTTAGCTCTTTAATTTACCAACCCAAAATAGAGAATAACATCTGTGTCTCAGGTCTTTTTGTTTTTTGTTTTGTTGCTGGTTCTGGGCTTGAACTCTGAGCCTAGTTGCTGTCCTTGAATAGCTTTCTCCTGTCCCCTCCAAGACTACCTCTTGAGCTATAATCTCTACTTTTGGCTTTTTGGTGGTTAATTGAAGATAAGAATCTCACTGATTTTCCTACTGAGACTGTCTTTGAAACATGATCCTCATATCTCAGCCTCCTGAGTAGCTAGGATTACAAGCATGAGCCACCAGGACCCAAGTGTTGTTTACTATTTTCATTTTGGGATTTTTAGTTTTACGGGGAGATTTTTAAAAATTGAGCCAGACATGTTGGTACAAACCTGTTTGCCTAGCTTTTCAGGAGGTGGAGTAAAGGAAAAGTGTGAGTTCCAAGTCAGCCTGTAAAAGTTAGCTGTGAAACCCTGTCTCAAACACAAAAATAAAAGGGCTGGGGGCATGCCTCACCTGACACAGTACTTGCCTGGCATGTGTAATGCCCTAGGCTTTAATCCTCAGTGTTAGCAAAGAAAGATACTTACTCATATCCTTTTTGTTTTACGAAAGGAATGACACATATATATGTATATAATATATATATTTAAATATATAGTGATGTTGTATATATTAATGACATTGTTAAGCCCTTCTGTGTCTTGATGTGCTTTTTTGCAGAACACTGATTCTGTGAGCTTTTGGAACAGTAAATAAGGATATGAAAGTTTACAGTAATGAAAATAATGCTTTTGGGAATTTGGATGTTAGGTTTTAATTTGTATTATTATTATGGACCATGACTTAAAATAAGTTTATCTGTTTTTGCACAGGTTTTCTTGTCTTTTCAAGATGCTTGAAAATATAGAGGATTTGAAGATCTGTCTCTGGACAAACAAAATTGCAGGTTTACTCAGCCAGAACTCTGAGTTCTGTGAAAGTGGGTAATACAAAAATGGACAGTGGCACAGGAAAATATCCTGCTGAGTAGAGGGACGGTCACATAGAACTCAGTTCACCAAACTTGCATAAAAGGACACACAGGGATTTTGAAAATGCTGCACATCCCTTAACAGACATCCACACCAATAATCCTGATAAACATTTTGTATTCAGACGCCAAAGTTAACTGATTTAAAAGTTGATTTACTTTTTAAGTTCTCTAGGGCTCAAAACTAGCTGTGTTTTCATTTGTTTTGTTTGCTTAGTTTGGGGTCTCTTTATTTTCCCCAACATGATGTTTCTGCATTCATCTCCTTAAATTGAAAACTACGTAATTTACTCCTTATAAAGTCTTCAATGTGAAACCAAGAAGTGTAATCAAGCAGTAAAACATTGTCTGGATGGAGACCATGATCTCAAGTTATTCCATTTTCTCCAAGTATGGAAAATAGACTTCTGCATAAGAAAGCTAAAATGTTAATATTTTTACATTAGAGGCTTAATATTACCAGAATGCCATCCAAAGAATAAATCAAGTTACATAATTACATTTTAATTAAATGTAGAATTGTCTACTGAATTGCAGTTTATGAAATATATTGTTTCCTCTTAAATAAAACTGCTCAACAGCTAATTAGCATTGAATCATCGTGAGCTATGCAACTTTAAAAAAGATATAAATTACCAATTTTAAGTGCTGCCAGCTATAATAACTTTAACGGGTATTTTTTGGTTTGTTCTTTTCATGTAATTATTATTCTGCTTTGCATCTCCAGGCATTTTTCCCACATTTGGGTTTAGCATGTTATAACTTTCACAACTTATAGTAAGGGTAAAATAAACTTTTCTGGAGTGGAACTTGGAATAATTGGAGGGATTTTTATATATTTTAAAAATCAGAATTTAATTGAGATGCCAGATTTATAGCAAATTTGCATCTTTAATTTTTCCAGATAATCTGGAAGTTAGTATTTTTAAAACAATTTTTAAAGCAAATACAAAGGTTTTGTTAATTTATAATTTATTAATGTGTTACTACTGTAATTGAAAACATTACAAAGACTTTAAATTGAGTCTTGTATGGAAATGTATTTAAAATTATGTGAATAAATATTCCCACAAAATACATCTGAATGGTTAAGAATACTGGAAAAGGATTATCAGGGCTATGATAGTGAATGTATTTTTTTTTAACATGAAAATATTTCCAAGAAGTCAATTTCACATTTTCAACATAGGGAAAATGTTATCCATGAGCATTTAGGCACCTCCCTTGGTGTGATTGACAGTTACACCATGCTGGCTCCCTCAACATAATGAGGTATTTGCTGTTTGATTTAAAGCTGCTACACACACACATACCATCCACCACACCACACTACACCACAAACCCCCAGCCTGTTCCCCCTGCTGTTGTTTCTGTTTCCTACAATGTAAGTACAGAAGCAGCAGCTGTACCCGGACACATTTATGTAATGCTTCATAATCATTCTTAATGGAATTTTTAGTTATTTCCTTTGTGATTTAGATAACATTTTCCCTGAAGTTATGCTGTGAAATGCTTTTTGGTACACTGCAATTGCTGAAAGAATCCAAAACCTCCATTGTGACAGCTGACAGCACAGTTTCTTAGGTGCTTTTTTTTGGAAAAAAAAAAAAAAACAGTTATGGAAATTTATTATTCTTTCAAGAGAAATATATTTTCCTTAAAATTTTTTAGTTATGAAATTATCATTTGAATTTGTTTTATTTCATACTCATTTTCAGTTTTACAAGCTTTTTACCCCTTTCTCATAATTCCTGAAGGAAAAACCTCTTGGAATGTGAATAATTTGTTTTCTACTGTATATTGTGATTAAAAATTACTTGGTTGTCTTCCATTCTTTTAAGAGAGTTATTACAGCTATCGTAATTAACTATGTTCTCCTAGAAGTTGATTTTCTGAGATAGGTGATGTGTTAACTCTCCCTGCCTTCCTCTGACTCTCACTCTGTCATGAACCCTGTGCTACAGCTGCTACAATAGAAGTTCCCATGGTTTTAAAGAAAGTTCAGTGTTTGTAGGTGTCAGGTACTACATATTATATTTGCCTAAAACAGTGTTTATTGAAGTTTTGTTAAAATTAACAAAGTCGGCATTTTTACTTTAAATCTGGTCCCTGATAATTAAAAAAAAAAATTTGAACTTGAAAAAAAACTTAAAAGCTTAGCCAGGCACCAGTACCTCAGGCCTGTAATCCTAGCTACTCAGGAAGCTGAAATCTGAGCATCACGGTTCAAAATCAGCAGGCAAGAAAGTCCATGAGACTCTTATCTCCAATTAACTACCAAAAAAACAGAAGTTTGCTCAAGTGGGAGAGTACTAACTCTGAGTGAGAAAGCTCAGGTACAGTACCCAAGCCTTGAGTTCAAACCCCAGTACTGGCACCAAAAAGAAAAAAGTTTTTAAAGCTGAAATGTTCATTTTTGTTCAATTCAAATACTATTCTGAGCTGCACACTGGTGGCTCATGCCTGCAGTCCTAGCTACTCAGGAGGCTGAGATCTGGGCATCACAGTTCAGAACTGGCCCAGGAATGTCTGTGAAACTCTTAATCTCCAAACAACTACTTAAAAATCCAGAAGTAGAGCTGTGGCCTTGAGCAAAAAGAAGCTCAGGGAGAGCTCATAGGTCCTGAGTGCAAGCCCCAGAACCAGCACACAAACATAAAAAGTACTATTCTGGAAAATACTGTAAGTGATATTTTATATAATATTACTTATAATAGTTATAAATCTGTAGTAGTATGTTGATAGTAGTATAGGACATGAAATCATACTAGGCATTTAAATACTCAGCTGGAACTATTGGTGACCAGGTTTTATAGAGTCATAACAAAGGTTGAAAACAGCCTTCATAGGAAGTTGGTTGTAGCTTCTAAGAATCTTTGCAAATACTCATCTCCAGAAAAGGTCATTTGTGAGTATGTAGAAAATAATACAGTATACAGAAAATAATAAATGACTTTGGTGCCACTCTATAATGGATTTATTGCCATTTTCAGTCATTTATGTTTTTCAGATCTAGTTCAAATTCAGATTATAGATTACGGTTGACACTGAACAGTGAATTCTACAACTGGTTTGTGTGTGTGGTCTCAGAAACAACAGAATTCATGTTGTAGCTGTTGTTTCAGTTTCTTAGTGCAAATCTTACATTTCTTTTAAATGTTACATGATTACTTCAGTGTTCCTACTCTGTACACTTTACTGGAATGCACCCCCAAAACGACTATAAAGACCACATAGAGTATATCTGCAGTATGTATTTCAAAAAGATTCCAGTTTGAATGAGTTAATGAAATGGCAAAATCCTTTCCAAAGCTTATTTGATTCACAGCTGTGTTTCAAAGTTCGGATATAATGAAGTTCAAGAACAATCATTTAGGTTAATATATTGTAGCAAGACATAGAAATACTTCTTTAAATGGAAAAGACTGTAAATTCAGTGTAAATATTATCTGCTTTTATGTACTGACTGAAGAAGGGCCTTTACCCAGCAATAAGCTACATTTGAACAAAGCATAATACCGTTTTTTTTTTATAAATTCAAGAATGGTTTAATTAGTGAAATTTAATTGATACCCACATTAAGCATTGGTAAATAATATTCACCTCTTTCAGAGGAAGTCTTCATATAAATTGGATTGCTAGGAACTATGTAAAACTACTTAAAGGAAAATGGTGCTTATTAAATAGGTGGATAGTTGTTCATTGCTAGACATTTACTTTATTAGGTCCATTTTCTTGCACTTTTGGTATCCTGAGGCAAACTCAGAATATATTGACAGTGGTGATTAAGTGTGAAGTGTTGCTTGTTCAGTATCCCTTGTTGTGCAAATATTTTCTTAGGTTTAAAAAAAAATGTAACATGTCAGTACATTTTCTTTTTTTTCCTGGAATATGTAATGTCTGATATTTTCTTGGTTATGAATAACAGTTAATTTATTTCACTATTAGTGTCTTCTCAACTTTTTTTGGGGGGAGGGGGGTTGTGGGGCTTGAATTTTGGGCCTGGGTACTGTCCCTGAGCACTTCAGCTCAAGGCTAGTACTTGACCACTTTGAGCCACAGTGCCACATCCAGTTTTCTGATGGTTAATTAGAGATAAGTCTCATGGACTTTCCTGCCCAAGGCTGGCTTTGAACTGCAATCCTCAGATCTCAGCCTCCTGAGTAACTAGGATTACTGGCGTGAACCACCAATGTCCAGCTCTTCTCAACTCTTCATCCTGAAACTAAGTTGCTGCTGCCTCATTTTCTTTACAGGAAATAACTACTTGGTATATCCTGGCAGCCATCCCTATTCAGAAACAGTTGATAAAAATGCTTTGATTGCCATATCCTGTGAATCTGTTTAAACTAGGAGATTTTAATTAAAGAATTCCTGTATTAAATGGAAATACCTGTTCACCTAAGTTGCTTTTCTGTGGAATAAGAACCTTGAAGAAATCAGATATGTGGATATTTCATTTTGGTTAAGAACCTACCACTATTGTACTTGGAGTAGTTGGTTTATTTTCACTCAGTTTAGGCCAATGGATAATACTACAATTTGTTATTGTTTATAGAGAGGCAAAGAACAGCATAACAAACAAATATCCCAAATAAATGAAAAACTGTTAAGTGATACTAAACTATCTAGTAACCTATTGTGTTTCTTAGTTGTGCCCTAGACAGCACTTGTCAGGACCTCAAGACTTGACATTACAAATGACTATTCTCCTTTCAATAGGTATTGGGCACTCATTTGTAGTAAACTCATTTGTAGTAAAAAAAAAAAAAAAAAAAAAAGAGTTCTGCCTATATTCTGTGGTAAGCCTGGTAGTAGAGTCTTAAAAATGTTTTATTATAAAAATGTGTAATTCTAGCCCTCAGACAGCTGGAACAGAGGGGTGGTGAGTTTGAAGCTAGCCTAGGCTATGTAGTAAGTATTACAAAAGGAGAAAACAGTTTTGTTACCAATTAACTTTCAAATACTTGAATGCACATAATGCAGTTAATGGAGTCTACAGGGAGATACAGAAGGCATGTTAGGATATTACCAGCTCATTAGATTTATTGGCAAGTTTCAAAGCTTGAAAATCATAGGGGTAATGTTTACCTCTATTGCTTTATTTATGGTTTCCAAAACTCTTCTGTAATACCTCTCAATTTCCCTTAATAGAAAATGTCTGTTACATTCGATATTGCAAACAAATCGCAAGAAATAGAGAAAATGTATTAGGTATAGCTTGTATGTTCTAAATTAAATGGGAAATTTGTTACTGATATTTTAATTACACATCCAAGTGATCTTGTTAAATTATCCTGTTATTTAGTCTTAGAAAATAAAAGAATGCTTTCAAGGAAAGTTGTCCTATCCTACCATATGTCTATTAAGTTGACATTATAATAAAACTGAGAAATACCTAGCTGCTGTATACCCATTGTCACAAAATAGAATCCAAAATTTACTAATTATTATTAGCTTAAGAAATGACTTTAGGAACAATGGACAAAGAGGTGTTTGTGGTGTTTTTCTTTGTGGTTTTTTGTTTGTTTGCTTTTGTTTGTTTGTTTGCTGGTCTTAGGGCTCTATCTGGGCCTGGGCACTGTCTCAGAGCTTTTTTGTCCAAGGATGACATTATACTTCACAACTCCACTTCTGGCTCTTTCAGTGATGAATTGGAGATAAGTCTCATGGACTTAACTGCCGTGGCTGGCTTGGAACCACAATCTTTAGATCTCAACTAGGATTACAGGTGTGGTAGGTACACTGGTGCCCGGCTTTGTTTGTTTTTTACTATCTTCTTTACTAAGAAGTTTTTGATTAAAAAAACCAAAAACTAAATTTTATGATTAGAAAACTTACAAGTTTCATTTGAATTCAGTAACAATCCACTGTGGTTTAAAAAAAATTATCTTTTAAAGCAGTTTTCATGCTGTAGTATTGAGTTTGTAGCAGGTGGAGCAGAAGGACCTCAGCTACCTGGTTTGTAGCAATATCGATGCTTTTAAGGGTGGTAAAGGTTATCTAATGGCTGAGACTAGGATCTGATCTACCCTGATGTCTTAAAAGTTGACAGCCATTTTTTTTTCCTTACTAAGAAACCATGGATGAAAATAACATTTCTTACATTCATTGCTTAGAATTAAACCATATGGCCATACCTACCTATACACAATGTTGGAAAATTGTCGTATGCACATAAGAAGGCCTGAATATACAGTTTTGTTTGTGTGTGTATATGTGTGTGCATACATGTGCCAGTGCTAGGGTATAAACTTAAGGCCCTGAGTGCTATCCTGAGCCTTTTCACTCAAGATTGTGTTCTATTACTTGAGCCGCACAGCTCCACTGCCAGGTTTTTGCTGGTGAATTAGAGATATGAGTCTCATGGACTTTGCTGCCCAGGCTGGCTTTGAAACAACTTTGTCCTCAAGTCTCTACCTCTTGAGTAGCTATGAACACTGGTACCAAGCTTATTTGTTTTTAGTTATCTCTTTAGTCCTACTCCCAACCCTTTAGGCATATATCCTACATTGTATTTTTATGTTTATCTTACATGTGATTAAGCCTTTATGAATATTTGAAAAATATATAGGATATCTTTGAGTTTTATATATCTTGAGTATGTTTTTAAAATGTTATCTATCTCATTCTGACCATTTTCACTATACATTTTTTTTTTTTAATTTTTTGGGCCCGGTCGTGGGGTCTGAACTCTGGGCCTGGGCGCTGTCCCTCAGCTCTTCAGCTCAAGGCCAGCGGTCTACCACTTGAGCCACAGCACCACTTACGGCTTTTTTCTTTTTGCTTATGTGGTGCTGAGGAATTGAACCCGGTGCCTCAGGCATGCAA